TAAATTAGAAATAATCAACAGAGGGACAGCATTAGAATTAAGAAGGACCAGGAAAGGCTTCCTGTTGAAGGTAGGGATTTGAAGTGGGATTTGAAAAAAGCAAGGGCAGCACAGAAGTGGAGTATATACAAAATGGTCCTTAAGAGCAGAAACTGTTATTGCATTTGCCTTCGTATCCTTGGTACTTAATAGTGCCTTGCAAATAGTCAGCACTAGGCAAATGCTCATTGAATTTGTTTGAATAAATGCTGCGCTAGCAAACAGGAGACCTGTATTCTATTTCCATCTGCTGCTAACTCCTTATATTGCTTTGGGCTGGTCACATCACCTTGCTGGGCCCATTTCCTCTTCTGTTAAATAAGAGATTTGAACCAGGTACTCCCTGAGGTCCTTTCCAACTATTCCTACTCAAATGAGTCTTTTTTTTTTTAAACGCAGGACAGTACAATCATGTCTTTGAATCCTGGCCATTGTGCATCTTCTTGCCGACTTAGAAAGGCCTAAGTGAAAAATGAGTTTGGGTGTACATCTCCCTGAAAACATTCTGGGCACCCATTTGAATAGCCTGACAGAGTTCAGAACGTTACTTTCCGAGTGTGCCGGGAGCATGTTGTAGATGACACTCTCCTTTACCAAAGGACACAGGGCAAAAGGTTGCATCATTTTAATCTGGTTAATGAGTCCTGCGAACAAGCCCCAGATAAAGTTGGTGATTTACAAAAGCTTTTATCAGCCTCATGATGGATTTTACAGGAGTGGAACACTACATGACCCATGTGATTTGTTTTCGTTTACAGAGGTGGAAGAGGCTTTGAATTTAAAAATGGAACTTTTTCTTCTCATGCCAAATGTAAACAATTTAACATCCATTTCCCATCCAGCTATTTTACTAGTTCAAAAGAGTTTATATGAATCTTATCTGTATTATATTTCCTGCTGATTGGCAGAGCTCATGCTTCAGTGGGGAAGCCAAAAATGTGTTGGCTCAGAATAGCAACAGGAAAGGACTAACAAAGAAAATAGGGAAATAAATGTAATGAGTAGTTATGAAGTGCTGAAAACTATACTTATCATCCTGGATTCTAGAGAAGCCAGTGCTGCCATATTGTTTTACGCCTGGGAAGTCTTTTATGGAAACACATAACAAAAGCTTCAGATTATTTTGTCAACAAGAAAACATAGTTTACACTATCTTCAAAGCCCCATCTTGTCCTGCCTTGAGTGGTTCCATATTCTTTGCTTGCTGAGATCTTTTGGGGCTCTGAGGGAGGTTTGAGTTGGATACAGTAATTCACCATAAAAAGATAAAAGCCCCTAGAAAGTCATAGATCTTCCTTTCAAGATCTACCAAATAATTCAGTTGGGATCCTGCTGAATCCAGAGAATACACTTTGTGGCTATGCACAGAGCTAGTATGATGAGCTCCTAGATACATGTTTTTATACTCACATAGATATGTGATACACATGTGTACACATTTTATGCAAAATTTCAAAGATATTATTCATTCATTTGGACTCAGAAATAATCCTTAAGTATCCTCAAGATGTGCATTATGGGAACACAAAAGTAAGGAAGAATGAGAAGGGGAGAGAGAGGTGGGAAGGAGACAGAAGTGGGGATAGAGAGAGGGAAGAAAAGGAAAAAGACAGGGGAAGGAGGGTTAGGAAAAAAACAGCTAAACATTTCCTATTATAAATATCATGTTTAAAAATGGTTTTTCCTGCCTTGTTCTTACAATTCATCAGGAATCTAGCTGAAGCTCTAGAATATAAACTTTGACCACAAGGTAAGAAAGAGAGACCATGGGCATTTATGTGACAGTAGTGAACAAAGCTTAGTTCAACTTAACTTGTGATAAGATTTTAAGATGAAATTCTGAGATCTCATTCAAAACTTTACAAAGAAGTTCTGATCCAGTCCTCTGATCCTCTTATAACTGTAAATAATGTCACTATGCAACAGACTCACTCCACTCACCCCTACTCCTCAACCCTGCCCCTATTGTCTGGCCTTTCAATAAGTTCAGGGACTGTTTAGATGCTACCCATGCCTGTGGATTTTGATCACCTTTTAGTAGGACTTTTTTTGCACCATTATTCTCCAAGGAATATTGTAAAAATTCAATGTTAACAGAAATGTTAACTTTAATGTTAACAGAAAACATCAAGCCAGTAGAATATAAGCTTCTTGGAATTAGAGACTCTTCTTGTCTTTGTAACCCTAGTGCTTACCATAGAGCTCTGTATATAATATAGTAGTGCTTAATAAGTAGTTGTTAAATTGGACAGAACTGAACTTTCTAGTAGTTCACATAATCAACTCAACAACACCCTCCCACAAGCTAAAGTATGTGAGAGATAGCACAGCATAGAGGATAATGTTGAGCTTGAAGCCAGAAAGACCTGGGTTTGAATTGTGCTTCTGACAATTACTAGCTTTGTGACCATAGGGAACTGACTTGACTTGTCTGGGCTTTAGTCAAATCATTACATCATTCCAAGTCATTGGGCTAAATAATCAACCTAATTTGTTTTACTAACATATTTTTTTTTAACAGAAAAAGGGTCAAATGACAAAAGACTCAAATATTGATTTACTAAAGATATTTTTCATTTTACACATGTGGACACTAAATTATAGCAAAAAAGGTTCCTTAATAGAATATCAGTTTCAATTTATTCATAATACACCAATATCATAATTCTCTATTCTCCTTTTATATCTGACAACACTATCAAAATCTAAAAGAAACAAAAGCAAAAGTTCTCACTTACACCATAGAACACAAACATTATTAAGAGACTCCTGAGAAAAAAGCCAGGTGACACCTTTGTCTTTATACAAAGGTGTAACAGCATCATAGATTCTTAAATACTTTAGGACCAATGCTATTTAGCCATGATTACCTCTAAGACTATTGAGCCTTTCACATGTAGTGAATCCTCTTACATTTATAGATAGATATATAATTATAACTTTAGCTACAGCTGTAATTATAGACATAGGCATAAATTTGTGTGCATGGATGTACGTGGAGGCAGAATGGTACAATGGAAATAATGCTGGGTTTGGAACCAGATGGAAGCAAGGTTCAAATCCTGACTCTTATTATTTACTGCTGGTGTGATCTTAAATGAGTTCTCTCTGGTTCTATTTTCTCACCTGAAAAAATTTGTAGGTTGGACCAGGTGGTAAAGTCCCTTCCAGCTCTAAATTACGATTGTGTATGTATATATGTGAAATCCAGCATGGTGCAGTGAACAGTGTGTTGATCTTGGAGTAAAACATGATCAGGTTCTAGTCCTAACACACTTGACATACAAACTGTGAGACTAGAGATAAATCGATAGACCTCTTAATTTTCAGGTTATTCTGCAGGTCTCTAAGCTATAGACCAGTTAGTGATCCACATCATTGGAGGGAATTTGAGGAATGAAGGAATACATCTATATCTATCTGTATCTATATATATCTATATCTATGTATATATGGAAGTGTAAATACACACTTGTGGACATACACAAAAATCCTTCAATATTTCCATGAATCTGTGGTCTTATCAGCATAGAAACTCAATTCACCGACACAGATTGCAACCTAACCACATTTCCTCATCCTACTTCATTCTTGTTCATGCTTTTTTAGAATTTCTCTGAGATTGACTTCTGGGAGCCAAGACGGCAGATTGCTACAAAAATTGCTACAACTCTCCCATACTCACCTCCAAAGAACCAAAAAAATTGAACCCTAAAACAAATCCTGGAACAGCAGAACCAGCAAAAAGATGGGTGAGCAGAAACAATCTTTTAACCCAAGAAACTTGGAGTATTGGCAAAAGGTCCATCTCAGGGCAGTTGAGTGGTGCAGTGGATAGAGCACTGGCCCTGGAGTCAGAAGGACCAAAATTCAAATAAGGCCTCAGACACTTGACACTTGGTAGTTGTGTGACCCTGGGCAAGTCACTTAACTCTGATTGCCTCACACAGAAAAAAAAAGTCCATCTCACTCAGTTGTAAGGAGAGTGCAGTCTAGGATGGGAAGCATACCAGCAATCCTGCAGCTAGCCCCACCTCAGCAAACCAGCAGGAGATCCTGAGACCCAGTGTGGTGGAGCAAGCAAATACTAAGACAAGGACCGCCCCCCCCCCATATGCCTAAGCATAGCCAGAGGAACTAGCAAACTCCAGCTCTTAGAGTCACCTAGAGCTTCAGTGTAGCCCTAGGCAAACAGCATCCTCCAGGAGCCAGACTTCCATATGTTACAGCACAGCCCAGGGCAAACAGGTAGACACCAATCCTCTGGGTACCTAAGCAAACAGGAAACCACACCACCCTGCCGTGCTTCAGCATAACCCAGGGCAAATAGCCCCCAAAGGTCAGACTCACCAAGTGCTTCAGGGTAGCCATAAGGAAATGCAGAAAAACCCCACCTGTTCTCAGCACAAACCAACCACCGCCACTCAGACCCCAACTTAGCAGCAGGTAAGCTACCAGACCCCTATTGCCCCTGTGTCAGCCAACCCCTGATCTAACCCCCTCAACACAGCACAGACACTAAAATCCCCCATGGGCCTCAGGGCAATATCAGTGCAGCACCAGGTAAACAGCCAGGGCCTGTAGCCACTAGAGCACAAGAAACTATAGACAGTGCCCCTTCTATCCTGGGAGCAGAGATCAAATTTAAAAGACAGGAAAAAGGCCCATTGAAAAAAAGAGATGAGCAAAAAAATGAGAGAATCTGACCATAGAAAGTTTGTATGATAGTAGGGACTGTATGATAGTAGGGAAGACCTAGACAGTAACTCGGAAGAGGACAACAATGTCAAAATACCCATGGCAAAGCCTTAAAATAAAATGGAAAGTGGTCTCAAGCCCAGAAAGAACTCATAGAAGAGCTAAAAAAAAAAGGAGCTTAAAATCATATGAGAGAGGTAGAAGAAAAATTAGGAAAAGAAATGAGAGGGATGCAAGAGAATTATGGGGGGGAAAAGAGTTAAGTGCTTGCTTTGGCAGCACATATACTAAAATTGGAACAATACAGAGAACATAAGCCTGGCCCCTGCACAAAGATGACACACAAATTTGTGGAGCGTTCCATATTTTTAAAAGGTATTCAGAATGCACGCTGTCTTGGGTTTGGGAGAGAGATGAGATGGGGAGAAAATCTGGAACTCAAAATCTTGTGGAAGTGAATGTTGAAAACTAAAAATAAATTAATGAATCTTTAAAAAATATCAGAGGACAGGGAGAAATTAAAGATTAGCGAGAGAGTGAGGATGATAAAGTGGACAATCTACTGGAGAAAAGGGGATGAAATGGGTTTACTTGCACATGTAGAGAAGTTTGCTTTGGTCAGGAGAAGAGCTATCTTTTATTATAAAACAGGAGTGAAGAAGTGGCAGGAAACATTTGAATGATATGAGATGTGAAGAAGAGGAAAAAAGGAAGTTATCAGTAAATGACCTTAATGTTTTCAGTGAAATATTAGGGAAGGTTCTTAGCTGACTGTGTGATGTAGGGGGAGTCATGGGAGGTTTGAGGAAGGATAAAAAGGTTTGGAAAATCCTCTGTGGTGAATCAATGATGGAGGTATTAAAGGATTGCCTTGACACAGTGAGGACCCAGCTAAGATTATATAACAAATATAATGCATTGGGGAGAAAATTGTCACTCAATGAAATAGAAGGATTTCAAGCTTTCATAAAGAGAAGACCAGAACTAAACCAAAAATGTGACATTCAATATCAAGACCTAAGAGAAGCAAAAACAGGTAAGAAGGAGAAAGAAAACATAATGGATTCAATAGAGCTAAACAGTTTATGGGAAGAAGATATCTGTAATTCTTAAAAATTATACCACTAATAGTACAGCTAGAAGGAATATACATAGACATGAGTATAAGGTGAATTTGAGAGAATGACATAAAAATCATTAAGGGATGAGAAAGAAGAGTATAAGAGGTGCAGAAGAAACGAAGAGGTAAAATGGGGTAAATTATTTCACATGAAGAGGTGCAGAAAACCTATTACAGTGTATGGGAAGATGGGAGGGTGGGTAACGAGCATCACTTGAACCTTACTCTCATCAGTATTGGCTCAAAGAAGGAATAATGTAAACAATCAGTTTAATATAAAAAATTAATCTTCCCTGACAGAGAAGTAGGAAGGGAGGAGATCAAGTAAAATGGAGAGTAGGGGGACTGACAGAAGGGAGAAAGGGCAGATCAAAGGAGGTAGTAGACAGAAGCAAAACACTGGTACAGGGGGAAGGGTTGAAAATAAAGAGGTTAAACAAGAGGAAGAATAGGTTCTCCTGGATCTATTTTCCAGGTCAGTTGTTTTACTAATGAGGTGTTTTATGTTTTCATCTATTTTTTTCGTTCTTTTGTTTCTGTTAGACTGACTCTTGCTCTCTCACAGAGTCATTATCTTCCACTTGCCCAATTCTAATTTTTAACAAATTGTTTTCTTCCATTAGATTTTTTACCTCCTTCTCCATTTGGCCCATTTTACTTTTTAAGGAGTTCTTCTCCTCAGTGAGTTTTTGTACCTCCTTTTCCATTTGGCCAATTCTGCTTTTTAAGGAGTTGTTTTCTTCAATGTACTTTTTTTTTCCAGTTGGCCAACTGTATTTTTTTGGGACTTATTTTCTTCAGTGTACTTTTTTTCCAGTTGGCCAATTGTATTTTTAGGAACTTTTTTCTTCAGTGTACTTTTTTTCCAATTGGTCAATTGTATTTTTTAGGGACTTGTTTTCTTAAATGTACTTTTTTTTCCATTTGGTCAATTCTATTTTTTAAGGACTTGTTTTCATATTCCCTTTTGAGGTTCCAGATGTGAGTTTGTTGATAACGTTGTCCTCTTCAGAATTTCTGCCTTGATCTTCACTGTTCCCATAATAAAAATCTATAGTATGTTTCTTTGTGCTCATGGAGTTTGCTTATTTCCTGGCCTTTAAAAAGATTGAGCTTTCCTGTTGGGGAGCAGGTAGCACTGATTCAAGTTTCTTGTGCTGGGAGCCTGGGGCCTGGTCACTGGTTTTGTGTGCTGGGGCCTCATATACTGGCAGTTGGAGGCTGTAGGGTTCTGGCAGCTTACCTGATGTTGGGCTGGAATCAGCAACATTGGAACTCTAGGGGTAGGATTGGGTAGTCTGGCCCCAGGAGGTTGCCTGATCACCTGGGCTTTTCCTTTTTCTTTCTTTAGCTCCTTTCAGATGGATGTTTTGCTACTGATGCAGGATGTTTCTCAGCCTGAGGCCCTTGGAGCACCTCCCAGAGTTTTGCTGAGGCACTGGGAGACTTGGTTGCTGTAGAACACTGAGACATGTGATGGTTTTTTGAGCCAGTTTCCACTGGTTCCCTTGCCCAAACTGAAGCACTTGGGAGTCCTGGTGTTGGTGCTTGTCTGCTCCACAACCTAGAGTTCAGGATCTCCCCCTAGTATGCTGAGGTGGGGCTTTCCACTAGCTTGCTGGGATGGTTCCTGTTCTATACTGCTTCCCCTCCCCCAGGGTAAGAGGGGCCTTTCCCATTAATCCCTCAAGCTACCTGGGCTACTAGACTGCTGCACCCCATCTTGTTCAGCTGTTCCAGGGTTTTTCCTGGGGTGATATTTTCTGGGCTTTCAGAGGTTAATAAGGGATGGTGGGAGCGACTTACTTTTTACTCTGCCATCTTGGCTCCCAGAAGAGAGCTTTATGAAATATAAAATAGATAATTTTGATCATATTACATTGAAAAGCTCTTATACAAACAAAACCAATGCAACCAAGATTAGAAGGAAAGCAGAGAGCTGGAAAATAATCTGTACAGCAAGTGTCTCTGATAAAGGCCTAATTTCTTAAATATATAGAGAACTGAGTCAAATTTATGAGAATACAAGCCATTCCCTAATTGATAAATGGTCAGACGATATGAACAGGTAGTTTTGAGATGAAGAAATTAAAGATATCTATAGGCGTCTGAAGAAGTGCTCTAAATCACTTCTGATTAGAGAAATACAAATTAAAACAACTCTGAAATACCACCTCATACCAATCAGATTGGCTAATACAACAAAAAAGGAAAATGACATATGTTGGAGAGGATGTGGGAAAATTGGGACAGTAATGTACTGTTGGTGAATTTGAGGTGATCCAATCATTCTGGAGAGCAACTTTGTATAACCTTTGATCCAGCAATACCACTAATAGACCTGTATTGCAAAGAGATCATTAAAAGGGGGAAAGGACCCATATGTGCAAACATATTTATAGCAGCCCTATTTGTGGTGGTAAAATGTTAGAAACTAAGAAGATTCCCATCAGTTGGGGAATAGCTAAACAAGCTGTGGTACATGAATGTAATGGAATAGTATTGTGCAATAAGAAAAGATGAACAGGCAGAGTTCAGTAAAACCTTATAAGACTTGTACAAACAGATGCAAAGTGAAATGAGCAGAACTAGGAAAACAATGTATACAGTATCAGCAACATTGTGTGATCAACTAAGAATGACTCAGCTTTTCTCAGCAACACAATGATCCAAGACAAGTACAAAGGACTCACAAAAGAAAATGCTATTCACATCCAGATACAGAACTGATGGACTCTGAATGTAATTGAAAGCATATTTTTTCACTTGCTTTATTTTTTCTTGTGTTTTTTTTCCTTTTGATCTGTTTCTTCCTCCACAATGGTGATGGATATGGATATATGTTTTACATCATAGCACATGTATAAACTATATCAAACTGCTTACCATTTTCAGAAGAGGGGAGGGGAGGGAGGGAGAAAAACTTGTGACTCAAAATCTTATAAAATTGAGTGCTAAAACTTTTCTTGACAAGTAATTGGGGAAAAAATAAAATCCTATTTAAAGCTAAAAAATAAACCTAATCTCCAACATTGACTTTAGGAAAGTCACTTAACTTTACTGGGTATGTTTGCAAATTTGTAAGAGGGACTTAGATGAGATGATCTTTGAACTATATGTTCGCTATTTATACTCTTATGACATAATTAAAAATTTTATTTGCTATATGACATTGGACAAATTGCTAAACAATTTTGGGTCTCAGTTGATTCATCTGTACCATACTATAGATGGACGAGATCAGAGGTGTCAACTCATGACCCAGCAATGGACTCACAAAAACTCCTCAGTGCTGCCTATAGCAGATTAAAATGTAATTGGGAAATGTTTAACAAAATAAAAAATATAACACAATGTGAATACATACATACATATATATGTATATACACATATGTACATATATACATATAATTTCTCCATAAAAGATCTCCCCAACATACTATTTTCTTTTTTATGTCTTTTAAATATTTCAGGGTGTCAATACAGAACTAAGGGTGTTCAATATTTATCCCTCACTCCCAATACATGGCTACCTAATCTCTTTTTAAGGTCATACATGTGTTTGGTGCTTCTTTTTATGCCACAACACAATGCTAATTATATTCTACAGCCTACTTCCACCCATTCTTAATCTTTCCAATGCCCTCTAGTTCACTTGCAATTATTCTAGATCACCCAGAGAATATTGGTGTTAGACAGATTTGAATTTGCAAACACTTTGATTTTTTTGAAAATATTAAGATGTTTCCCAAATGCAATCCTATCTATAAAAAGATTAGTATTTGTATATTAATCAACAAGTATTTATTAAGTGTGCATATAAATACACACACACACATATATATATTATATATATATATACTTACATGTGTTTATCCTGTATCTTTTTTGTAAATTTATGTAGACCAATACTTTTATAAGTTTTGGCAAATCTTGGTGTAGAAACTTCCTATGCACATACAAATCACAATCTCATCTGAAATATTTAGATTTGGAATATTCCTTGAGACGCTGATTACTAAATGTTTTCTGATTATTTGAAAGGTTAAGTGACTTGACTGAAGTCATGGAGCTTGCATGTGGCATAGGCAGGATTTTGATCAACCAGCAAATATTTATTAAGCACCTACTAGAAGTTCACATTCTAATGGAAACAACAAATACATTCATATACATTGTATGTGTATATATCTATATTTATCTATATATAACATGTGTATGTATTTGTGTGTGTATATATGTATATATAT